ACAGTTACATGTAAATCATTTAGTGCCCCCTGTGGCAGCCCCTGAAAAATGGTTTTAGGCCAGGCCTGTTCATATTTTTTTGTGATAAAAAATTTTTATTTGTTTTTTATCTTTTCCATCAAAACACTTCAGTACAAAACTATGTACATATCCAGGGCCACCCAAAAAAAAGACACATCAGACTTGGTCTACCTTGATGAGTAGAGAATGTACAGAATAGATGATCCACACATCCCTATCATAGCCGACAGCCTACAGACATTGGAGCACAGTATCCTCAAGTATCTCCGCACCCACAAGCCTCCAAACATATGCCACACCCTATACCTTAGAGCTTTTATCCAGAGTTTAAAGCTGAGACCTGATCATTTTTTATATTACATATATGTAATGAGGCTATGAGTTTATGAGAGTGACACAGTGGATTATCTTTGGTTCGCTGTTCCAACATAAACCAATTTCTTATTCCTGCCACACCTCAAAACTGTGAAGATAAGCAGTGATACCAACTGCTGTTCCTTTGAGTCAGCAGATTTCTTCCATCAGTTACAGCACTATTACAGTGTACATGTGTGTTTATATGTATATTTATATATGATCAGAACCTTGGGGTCCTGGTAGCAGTTCTTGGTTCATTGCTGCTAGGCTAAGTCGGCGGGCATGTTGTTGTCAGCATTCCTTGTTGAAACCGCGGGTTCAGTTTTTACTACGTCAAGGTATGTTGAGTTGTATGTTGCCTACTTTGCTCCTGCTATAATGCTCGTATTAAGCGATTTTAAAGTAGATTTCTTCTTGGCTAGTGTCGAGGCACTGGTGGACGGGTGCAGCTGAAGCTTGGGTCCTGTTAGCTTTAGCCACTTGGAGCTAAGCCGGTGCGAGTGGTGACAGCAGCAGCGGTGCATGTTTTAATTCATTTAGTGTGCAATAAGGTACGCTGCCGTGTCCCCCACCCGATTACTGTGGTTTCTGTTGGCTTAGCTATGGCCAGTAACGTGATGTTCTGTTTGTGTACCTAGCCAAGTAGCATGGTGAATTTGGAGCAAAGTCAGCACCAACTGTAGCGTCCAGTTTACATCATTGGCCTTAGTACCCCAGGTATGTTTTGATTTTGTATCATGCAGAATGTTCTACTTTTGTTGGCTCACTGAGCATTTGGCTCAGTAACATGGCTGTTTATGAAACATTTGAGTGTAGCTTCTAGCTGTTGCATTATTGCTGTTTCAAATTATTGCTGCTAATAGATGTGTTTTGCAGTGCAATCATCTATGTTAGACTTCAGTCCATGTTTCTGAGCCAGGCTATCAAGTTATTCTTACACTAAGTTGTTCCTCTGTATGTGCCTTACGAGGGATGAATGTCAAAAATGCCCTGTGTCTTTTTCTTGTGTATTTTACTAGATTGATTACAGCGTATGTCCTGTGCCAGTTGCTGTTCTCTAACCACTTTTATTCCGTTTTTTTATTTTTTTTATTGAGTTTTAATTGTGATGCTGCTCTAACTTTTAAGGAAAGTATTTTATTGCCTAAGCTGCCCTCTAGCCTGTGGCCATATTGTGTGTGCAAACGGGGATTTGGTGTAGTGTGAGCCACTGGCTAGAGGGATTGTAAATTCTTTTAGTTATTTTTTTATTACTATTATTTTCCCTTAGTTATATGCAGTCCACGTGGAGTTAAGTTTAGTCCGGGGAGTTTGGGACTGAGGAATGTTTGGGGATGGATTGCTTTGTTCACTAGAATGGTAGAAATTTGTAGTGCAGTGCATTTGAAGTGATTAGCATGTATTGCTGGAATGGTGCTTTTCTTTTTTGCTTTTTGAATCTATTCACGTGTGTCACTGAGAGAATAATCTTTTGTTAGTGTCCCAACGGGCCAAGGCTTGAGTAGCCCCAGTAGTACTGTGAATATTTTTTAGTACTGGTTGTTTCTATTTATTTTTGTTTTGTTTTATAAACTGAACTGACAGTCAGTGTATGACCTCAGCTTCCTTTAATAAAGATTGTATTTTTGTATTTTCCTGAACCTGCATTTGTGAATTTACTATGGTCAGAGCTTCCCTTTGCTCTAGGTATAAACCAAGGGGTGGCATAGTCTGGTATACAATAACGGGACCTCCCCTCCAGGAGATTTCTGGGGAAAATCTTTTACCTTGTAAAAAGAAATTAAGTATCAAATAAATTACAATTAAAGTATTAGGAAACTATTTAGACAATGTGGGTTTAAATAGTGTCTGAACCATTTCCTTAGAAAATGTACTTCTTTGACTGTTTTAAAGCAAAGCTATCAAACAGTGTCTTTAAATCTTTTTCCTCTAATTTCAAGACTGACACTGCTACCAAACCTTGGAGATATTCCTACTCCACTTTTAAACTAAAGTAGGTAAAGTTTCAATGCAAAAAAACATTTCACCATACGAATACATTTAGAGTTGTTTCCTGTAGTCTGTAATCACTATTTAGCATGTCATAGCACATGCTAAATATTAGTCATTACAATAATGTATGTAATTACAACGAGCTTAATAGCAGAAGCAAGAAAACTGAACAAAAAAAAACCTAAAACTAAAAATTTAGTGTTCATTTTTACTGGTGGTTAGTCTAATTGCTTGCAACAGACTCAAAGAAACTCAAAGAAGATTTCTGAATTGAATGAGAGAAAATATGACATGACAGCTCACTACACACTCATTACAGGTATAAGGACAGAGAGATACAATAAAAATGACACTGAGGTACTGATTTGCCAGTTCAATGATTCTGTAACTTTTTCAGGATTGAATTCACTGAAAACTCGCCTGAGTGTCTCCAGTTTACAAAATGAACTCTTCAGTCCAGCAGAGAGCAGAGAGCTGGACTGAAGAGTTAATTTTGTAAACTGGAGACTGCAGGTCGTTGTCGCTGAGGTCCAGCTCTTTCAGGGAGGTTTGGTGACTGTAAAGCTGATCCCAGATTTCTACAAGCTTTTGCACGAAGACTACAGATGTGAACTCTGCAAACAGGCAATACAATGTAGTCAAAGAAGGATTTATGCATACAGAAACTATCTATCTATCTATCTATCTATCTATCTATCTATCTATATATATATATATATATATATATATATATATATATATATATACATACATACATACATACACACACACACACACACACACACACACTAGAGATGAAACTATTGAAATTAAAATATTAAGATATTAAAATTTCTTATCACGATTACTGGTATTATCGCGATATTGTTCAAATGTGTTGAAAAGTTAAATAAATAAATAAATAAATGCTGATACACAAACTGAAACTTGTTTCACCAACTTTTATATTAACACGAATAGAATTGGTAGCAATATGCACTTTTTGTTTGCATAAACATAAAAAAATATAGTCAATACATTTGTAGTATTACTTTTGTTTTACTTACAATACTTGTAATACTCTGTAAACAAAAGAATAGCAAATGTGTTATTATTATTATTATTATTATTACTGTTGTGATTATTTTATTATTATTATTATTATTATTATTATTATTATTATTAATTACAATAACTAGGAATTTCCCTGCATAGAGAATTAAATCTCGACCAACTCTGAGGTGGGTCTTAATGGAAAATTACTACTTCTAAGAAGTGTTGCACTCGGGGGATTTCTGTCCTAACTGCAATTGCAGCATTATTGTGCCATTGTGGTGCTGTACCCCTAATCAATACAGCGCACCAGGAAAAACAGCCAAAATCACAGAAGAATTGCATAACCATGCTGTGAGCTGCAGACAGTGTAGAACTCACATAGTGTGTCTTCACCTGTGGAGCTGCTTCTCTAAAAGCATTTTAAAACTAAAACATAACTTAAAATGAACATGCATCTGAGCTGCAGCAGAAACACTCCTAAAGTTTAATCTCTGAAACTCTGCTTTTCCTAAAAGTAGCACACAGCGTTTACTCGCACAAGGTCCTGTCTCAAAGCACACTATCTTCCCTATGTAGTGCACTTCGTAGATCATGAAATAGCAAATCCTTCACCCAAAGAGTGCATGAAATGTTCAAGTCATCTATAATCAACAATAACAATAGGTTACAAATTCCATATTTAAAACTCAACTGCTTGTTAATGATGATTGTGTTTGAAAAGTAGCGCACTATGTAGGGGAGATTGAGTGATTTGAGACAGTGTTATTATTTTCTCAGAAAGTAAACACTGCAAGCGAGACAAGAAAAGGGAACTGTGCAGATTGAACTTCTGCAGCGTCTCGTTCCAGAGCTTGTGTGACTGTTAACTCAGAGCTCATTTTGGAGACACTGCTCCACAGAAATATGTGTTAAAAGCTTTAGCTTCGATTCACAGTTGATTCACCGATTGCTTTTTTTTTATGCTAAAAGCTTCATTTTATATTTTTAACAAACAATAAGCCTAAGTTAAACCACACAAACCATGACATTTCTTCTATTTCCAAGTCCCCACAGACTTCTACGTTAAAGTTAACCTTGCATTCTCTAAAAAGTAGCAGGTGGTGGTCGCGAAGACGATGTGTTGCCCCCTTTTGCCGCTATTTTCTTTCGGCATGTTCTGCAGACAGGGTGGTCATCTTCATTTAACTTTCCTTCTGCTTTCTTATAAAACCCAAAATATGACCAAACGTCAGACTTGGTCTTCTTAGAAGGCTGAAATATCTCCGGATCTCTGTCACTACATTCCGTCATGTTCTCCCTTCTCTCCCTCTCTCTCCCACTCTCTCCCCCTTCCCCTCCACACACACACACACAGAGCTGCTTCTGAGAGAATGATTCTGCCTTTGTTTGACTCTGTACAGCAAGTTTGTCACACCGTGGTAGAGAGAGAGAAAGAGATAACATACTACAACATTTTTGTTTATGTTTATATTATTGTTCAGGTTAGAGTGACAGAATTTCAAAATCCCAATTAATTCTGTTAGTATTTTATGTTTACATTTTATTGTGCCTTATCAGCTTATTTCAATTCAAGAATTAATTTACAGAAAGTTCACCTGAGTATCTCCAGTTTACAGTGCGAGTTCTTCAGTCCAGCAGAGAGCAGCTCCACACCTGAATCCTGAAGGTCATTTTTACTCAGGTCTAGCTCTTTCAGAGACGAGTTTACAGTTTGTAGAGCTGATGAAAGATTCTCACAGGAACTTGTGGTGAGACCTGTATAGTCTGTAAAAGTCAAAATATAATACACAGTGTAATCAGGAGAACTGTAATAGAATTACTGTACTCTCTGCATTCTACTTTGTCTTTCAGAAAGAAGTATATGAGATATTCATAGCTTGATTATTCATCCATGTGATCCCATTTACAACAGAAAACATAGCTTATTTTTTTTCTCTCTAAGCAGAAGTTACCTGTTTAGTGGCATAGAAAGTTAACTGCCATGACAATACATCCAATATATGATATAATTAAACTTAGAACAGATCTTGCAATATACATAAAAAAACATTTTTGAATAATTAAAGAGAAAAAGAATACCATGTTTTTCGGTAGCACATTATACTTTTAATGTGTTATTTTAGGGAAGGCTGGAGAAAGAGATTCAGTAGAAGTATAAAACCATGTGAAATGAATATTAAAATTACACAAATCTGTTATTGTAAGGTTACCATTTATTATATGCTGTCATTTTCTTATGAAACATTTAATTCACACAAAGTTTACCTGAGTATCTCCAGTTTACAGTGCGAGTTCTTCAGTCCAACAGAGAGCAGCTCCACGCCTGAATCCAGAAGGTCATTGTTACTCAGGTCTAGCTCTTTCAGAGACGAGTTTACAGATTGTAGAGCTGATGAAAGATTCTCAAGGGAACTTGTGGTGAGACCACACCTGTCTAGTCTGTAAAAGTCAAAATATAGTACATGGTGTAATCAGGAGAACTGTAATAGAATACTGTACTCTCTGTATTCTACTTTGTCTTTCAGAAAGAAGTATACGAGATATTCATAGCTTGATTATTCATCCATGAAATCCCATTTACAACAGAAAACATAGCTTATTTTTTTTCTCTCTAAGCAGAAGTTACCTGTTTAGTGGCATAGAAAGTTAACTGCCACAATACAGTCAATATATGATATAATTAAACTTAGAAAAGATCTTGCAATATACTTAAAAAAAAACATTTTTGAATAATTAAAGAGAAAAAGAATATCATGTTTTTCGGTAGCACATTATACTGTTAATGTGTTTTAATATTTTAGGGAAGGCTGGAGAAAGAGATTAAGTAGAAGTATAAAACCATGTGAAATGAATATTAAAATTACACAAATCTGTTATTGTTAGGTTACCATTTATTATATCCTATCATTTTCTTATGAAACATTTAATTCACATAAAGTTCACCTGAGTATCTCCAGTTTACAGTGCGAGTTCTTCAGTCCAGCAAAGAGCAGCTCCACACCTGAATCCTGAAGGTCATTGTTACTCAGGTCTAGCTCTGCCAGAGACAAGCTTTCAGATTGTAGAGTGGATGAAAGATTCTCACAGGAACTTGTGGTGAGACCACACCTATCTAGTCTGCAAAAGTCAGAATATTGTACACGGTGTAATCAGAAGAACTGTAATAGAATTACTTTACTCTTTGCATTCTACTTTGTCTTTCAGAAAGAAGTATACGAGATATTCATAGCTTGATTATTTATCCGTGTGATCCCATTTACAACAAAAAAACACGACTTATATTTTTCCTCTCTAAGTAGAAGCTACCTGCTTAGTGGCATAAAATGTTAACTGCCAAACAATATATGATATAGTTAAACTTAGAACAGATCTTGCAATATACTGAAAGAAGCATTTCTGAATAGATTAAGAAAAAAAGAATATCTTGTTTTATGGCAGCACATCATACTTTTAGTGTGTTTTTATATTTCAAGGATGGCTAGAGAAAGAGATTCAGTAGAAGTATAAAACCATGTGAAATGAATTTTAAAATTACACATAAATGTATCATTATAAGGTTTCCATATATTATGATAGCCTGTCATTAAAAAAAATACACAAAGTTCACCTGAGTATCTTTAGTTTACAGTGCGAGTTCTTCAGTCCAACAGAGAGCAGCTCCACACCTGAATCCTGAAGGTCATTGTTACTCAGGTCTAGCTCTTTCAGAGATGAGTTTACAAATTGTAGAGCTGATGAAAGATTCTCACAGGAACTTGTGGTGAGACCACACCTATCTAGTCTGCAAAAGTCAGAATATAGTACACGGTGTAATCAGGGGAACTGTAATAGGATTACTTTACTCTTTGCATTCTACTTTGTCTTTCAGAAAGAAGTATACGAGATATTCATAGCTTGATTATTCATCCATGAAATCCCATTTACAACAGAAAACATAGCTTATATTTTTTCTCTCTAAGCAGAAGTTACCTGTTTAGTGGCATAGAAAGTTAACTGCCACAATACAGTCAATATATGATATAATTAAACTTAGAACAGATCTTGCAATATACTTAAAAAACATTTTTGAATAATTAAAGAGAAAAAGAATACCATGTTTTTCGGTAGCACATTATACTGTTAATGTGTTTTAATATTTCAGGGAAGACAAGAGAAAGAGATTCAGTAGAAGTATAAAACCATGTGAAATGAATATTAAAATTACCCGAATATGTTATTGTAAGGTTACCATTTATTATATGCTGTCATTTTCTTATGAAACATTTAATTCACACAAAGTATACCTGAGTATCTCCAGTTTACAGTGCGAGTTCTTCAGTCCAACAGAGAGCAGCTCCATGCCTGAATCCTGAAGGTCATTGTTACTCAGGTCTAGCTCTTTCAGAGATGAGTTTACAGATTGTAGAGCTGATGAAAGATTCTCAAGGGAACTTGTGGTGAGACCACATCTGGCTAGTCTGTAAAAGTCAGAATAAATATAGTACATGGTGTAATCAGGGGAACTGTTATAGAATTACTTTACTCTCTGCATTCTACTTTGTCTTTCAGAAAGAAAGATATTCATAGCTTGATTACTCATCCATGTGATCCCATTTAAAACAGAAAACACATCCATTGTTTTTTCCCCTCTAAGTAGAGGCTTAGGATTGTTTAGGACCACAGAAAGTTAACTGCCACAAAATGCGACCAATATATGATAACATTAAACTTAGAAAAGATCTTGCAATATACAGAAAGAAGCATTTCAGAATAAATAGAAAAAAAATATGTTTTTTTGGCAGTGTACTACACTTTTAGTGTGTGTTTATACACTGCTCAAAAAAATAAAGGGAACACTTAAACAACACAATATAACTCCAAGCAAATCAAACTTCTGTGAAATCAAACTGTCCACTTAGGAAGCAACACTGATTGACAATCAATTTCACATGCTGTTGTGCAAATGGAATAGACAACAGGTGGAAATCATTGGTGATTAGCAAGACACACTCAATAAAGGAGTGGTTCTGCAGGTGGGGACCACAGACCACTTCTCAGTATCTATGCTTTCTGGCTGATGTTTTGGTCACTTTTGAATGTTGGTGGTGCTTTCACACTCGTGGTAGCATGAGACGGACTCTACAACCCACACAAGTGGCTCAGGTAGTGCAGCTCATCCAGGATGGCACATCAATGCGAGCTGTGGCAAGAAGGTTTGCTGTGTCTGTCAGCGTAGTGTCCAGAGCCTGGAGGCACTACCAGGAGACAGGCCAGTACACCAGGAGACGTGGAGGAGGCCATAGGAGGGCAGCAACCCAGCAGCAGGACCGCTACCTCCGCCTTTGTGCAAGGAGGAACAGGATGAGCACTGCCAGAGCCCTGCAAAATGATCTCCAGCAGGCCACAAATGTGCATGTGTCTGCACAAATGGTTAGAAACCGACTCCATGAGGATGGTATGAGGGCCCGACGTCCACAGATGGGGGTTGTGCTCACAGCCCAACACCGTGCAGGACGCTTGGCATTTGCCAGAGAACACCAGGATTGGCAAATTCGCCACTGGCGCCCTGTGCTCTTCACAGATGAAAGCAGGTTCACACTGAGCATATGTGACAGACGTGACAGAGTCTGGAGATGCCATGCAGAGCGATCTGCTGCCTGCAACATCCTTCAGCACGACCGGTTTGGCAGTGGGTCAGTAATGGTGTGGGGTGGCATTTCTTTGGAGGGCCACACAGCCCTCCATGTGCTCGCCAGAGGTAGCCTGACTGCCATTAGGTACCGAGATGAGATCCTCAGACCCCTTGTGAGACCATATGCTGGTGCAGTTGGCCCTGGGTTCCTCCTAATGCAGGACAATGCTAGACCTCATGTGGCTGGAGTGTGTCAGCAGTTCCTGCAAGATGATGGCATTGAAGCTATGGACTGGCCCGCCCGTTCCCCAGACCTGAATCCGATTGAGCACATCTGGGACATCATGTCTCGCTCCATCCACCAACGTCACGTTGCACCACAGATTGTCCAGGAGTTGGCGGATGCTTTAGTCCAGGTCTGGGAGGAGATCCCTCAGGAGACCATCTGCCACCTCATCAGGAGCATGCCCAGGCATTGTAGGGAGGTCATACAGGCACGTGGAGGCCACACACAATACTGGGCCTCATTTTGACTTGTTTTAAGGACATTACATCAAAGTTGGATCAGCCTGTAGTGTGTTTTTCCACTTTAATTTTGTGTGTGACTCCAAATCCAGGCCTCCATTGGTTAATAAATTTGATTTCCATTGATGATTTTTGTGTGATGTTGTTGTCAGCACATTCAACTTTGTACAGAACAAAGTATTCAATGAGAATATTTCATTCACTCAGATCTAGGATGTGTTATTTGAGTGTTCCCTTTATTTTTTTGAGCAGTGTATTTCAAGGATAGCTAGAGAATGAGATTCAGCAGAAGTTTAAATTTATGTGAAATGAATATTAAAATTGCATATAAATCTATTATTGTAAGATTGCAGTTTAAACTGGCTTATCTCTTTTATTTAAAAAAAACACAGTTCACCTGAGTGTCTCCAGTTTACAGTGCGAGTTCTTCAGTCCAGCGAAGAGCAGCTTTATGCCTGAATCCTGAAGGTCATTGTTGCTCAGGTCTAGCTCTTTCAGAGATGAGTTAACAGACTGTACAGCTGATGATAGATTCTCACAGGAATTTGTGGTGAGACTACACCCAGCTAGTCTGTAAAAGTCAGAATAAATATAGCAAATAGTGTAATCAGGGGAAATTTATTAAAATTACTTTGCTCTCCATATTCTACTTGTCTTTAACTTTAGAAATATATAATAGAGATATAATGCTCAGTAGTTCGTAATCGAAACAATACCTCACAACTGTCTATGGCTAAAGCCCAGGCTTATAAGTTAAGCTAAGGATGTCATATGATCAAACACACAGGTGTCACACATTAGTATTCAGGTGATCTAGAACACTGATAGGAGCGTGAGGAGAGTTCAGGAGTCAGCTGATCTCCCTGAGGATTCTGGGAGATAGAGTCTGTGTGCGTGGCTGAGTGCAAAGGGGATGTCGAAGTCATGTGACCTCCCAAAGGATTCTGGGAGGTCGAGTCCATTTCCTCACCAGAGCTCGTGAGATTTGTGACAAGGTGTCAAACTTTTTCATGTTGCAGTAAATTCTTTTCACTTAGACATGATCAGGTTATGTCCTCATAGACCTAATTATGAGATTCCTCACTGTGGACATTACTGTACACTGAGCCAGTGGCAGGACAGTAGCTGGACACTACATTACATCTCTCCACTCACATTACTATGCACTGCCACTTTTATTATACATTTAGTCTTATTTCATATTGCACTGCTACTTTGTTTATGCATCCATAAATGTCATATTGCACAACTGTTGACATTTATTGCTACAGTCCATAATCACTTGTTCATTCACTGGAGGGACAGGCACCACTGCATTGTCAACTGCATAGTATTTATGCAATAACTTTGTATTTTTGTACCGCACATTACTTTTATTGTTTTAACATATTTGATTTTAGTATTTATCTCTACTTTCTATTTATTCATTCTATTTATATCTATCTATCTATCTATTGACAGAACATTTGCCACTCTTTCAGGGACCAGATCAGCGATCAAAACCTTTATACAGGATCATAAATAGAGAAGGAGAAGCTGTAAGTAAGAAAGTCAGGGTGCTGGTTCACCAGTTAGATCAGGGGTGTTCAATCTTATCCACAAAGGGCGGATGTAGCTGCAGGTTTTTATTGGAAACAAGCAGGAGCTCAGCTGATTCCCCTTAATCAGGAAAAACAAATATCCATGAAAACCTGCAGCCCTGTTCTGCATATACAATAGGACACCAGCTATCGTGTTAAGCAGATGATAACTTCCTCCACAGCTGGTAGCTTTATCAGAAACCTCCCACAGTTATCAGCTTCTATTAGCTGTCAATCTAACCCTACCGAATTAGATATTATGACCGTGGTATAATGATCACACTCGAGCTTTAAAACAGACTGTCAGACAACTAGAGCAAAAATGACGTCTGACTAAACTGGAAGTGTTCCAATCCGCCTGGAGGAATTATAGCCTTATAGACTATAGACGAGCACTTACTGCAGCACACTCAGCCTCTCTCCTCTCTCATAGACAACAATAAGAATAATTCTAGATTATTATTTAGCACAAATTCTAAATTGACTAAGAACCAAACAGCTACTGAACCCCAGATGCCATCAGCCTACAGCAGCACAGTTAAACTCTACAAACCTGCTACCTTACAAAGCCAATCCAGATCTTGAAAATACTGTAACTACTGCAGAGAGACTGGAATCGTTAAACTTTAACAAACTGAGCTAGTTAAAATGATTCCCTCCTCTAAATCTTCTGTTTGCATCTGAAGTCTCCACTGTCCAGGAGTGGAATTAACAACCATCACTAAGGATCACACTGCCTGCTGGTAGGGAGTCCTGTGTGAAGGACCCTGCACTGTTGCAGGACAAGCCTATAAAAACATCCAAATCTTTGCCTGATAATCACATACAGCCTGCAGCTGCACAGGTTCTCCAGGAGCTTTAATTCAAACATGGCAGCATCTATAGCAGAAACTACACATCAGAAAGCTGCATGATTCCCCAGCCTCACAGAACCTTTTACATGATTCGTAATTCTTCGCTTTTTGGATGCTGGGAGAATTCACCTCATTTCATGAGAAAGGAGGCTAAAAAAGTAGAGAAACAGATGGACAACAGTGTGTAACTGTAGAACTAAAGAGTGAAACTATACGGTCAGTGGAGCTGGTAAAGTGGACAATGAGTGTAGATAGAAGGAGGTGGACTAAATGAAATAGTTAGATGATTAATGAACCATATATGAAGTGGATAAAAGGGTTTACTGCTGTTTTTTCTCCCCAAAGTGCTTAGAGGAAAGTTTACCTTTTTTAACTGTTCAATAGCATCACATGACAGCTGAGGTAAGTAAACACTGGTCGTTTGCAGTGGGCGGGAACAAGTGGCAACGTCATCACTGTGTGACTAGAGCGTCTCATTTATCTGTCTTCAGGTTCAGTGACAGTTAGAACGCTGCCTATTTAAACAGCTGCCTATGTAGACAGCAGCTACTAAGAGAGCTCGCTAGGTTTTTAGACACAACCTTAAAGTTTTATCTTATCAACTTCATTGTCTTTTGTAAATATAAGCTCATTCTGAAACTGATACACGCTACACATTCTAAACGTATGGACGGGCGAATTAACACTGAATATTGTTAAATGTTCTGAAAACATTTTAAAAGAGGAGATGTAAACATGCTCTGTATAAAAGGAGCATTCAGGACAGGCCTAGACCACGCAGCCAAAAATGCATCAGCAAATTGTATTAAAACAGCATGACTGCATAATCAGAGAGTGAGGGTTCTAGACTGGCCTGCCATCTCTTACTGAAAATGTGTGGCATATTATGAAGAGCAAAATACAACAATAAAGGCTTCACACGACTGCACAGCTGAAGACTGGTATAAGTTGTATAGTCCACATACAATTATTTATGCAAGTAAAAGGAAAGGTGATGTAGTAAAGTGATAAACCTGCTTGTGTCCCATCTTTTTTTAACAAATTTAAATAAAGTTCAGAAGGTAAAACATGAGGTAAAATAACGCTTCGGGGCTGTTTTCAATATAACAGCTCAAACAGAACTCACTCATCACTGCTTTCTGTATATTTTTTATGGAATTGGGTTTGTAATTTGGCCAGGGGTGCCTAGACTTTTGTATAGAACTGTATCTGCAAAGAGAGTCTCATTACACCACAGTCTAGTTTAAAATAATCCAAAGCACTGCTGAAATGAGACATACAAGACTGTCACTGTGCATGAATTCTCTGAGTTCTGTCAAAATATTGGATTTTTAAACTTTGATACAATAATTTAAAAACTTTTGATATTTGAAACTGTTTTCAAAACCACAATATCAAATGAAAAACATTATTTTCATAACACTGACTCTTCACACCAAATGTATTTTTTAAACAATAACTAATAAAAGCTGCAGACAGACATCAAGGCTTTAAGGATTACAGTTCAGGTTATCTTAGCCTTACAGTAAGGATGTTAAGTCTTCTCTATAAAGGGCCAGTGTAGCTGTAGGTTTTCAGTCCAACTAAGCAGGATCACCCCTGAACTCAAGCCCAATGTGAGAACTGTCCAATAGGAATGTCCCTTAGCTCTCCTTTGATTGGACAGTGTTTACTGTGAGTTTAAGTTATCAGACTAGCTGAGAAATCCTGCTGTGTAAAACACCCCCTTGATCAGATGTTTGAAGACTAAAACTAGTAGAACAAAGGAGGACATCAGTTCAGCTCCTGCTTGGTGAAAATGAAAAACCTGCAGGCACACAGTCCCTCTGTGGATTAGAGTGGACAGTAATGAGCATCAGAAACAGCAGTTTGACCAACAGGACTATATGTAGCAGAACTGACACTGACTGGAATGTATCTCTAGATTTTTACTAATGTGAATATAAATTAATACCACATAATACATGTTTAGTGTTTGCTGCACTTAATTCACCACTTTATCAATGAGCTGTAAGAGACTTTTATTTTGAAAGAGTGGTCGTACTGGCTGGGCGATTGGAGTGTAAAATAACAAAGCAGCATCAGTCCATCCTTTTTTCTTTTCCACACTGATGTATGAGGTAGATCTGCAGTGTGATGACTATAATTCACAGGTTCAGTGTTAGTTTTCACTGCTATGCTGACGACACTCAGCTCTACATACCTGCTAAACCAAATGAGGCTCTGAATCTAAATAATCTTGAAGAATGTGTTAAAATATCAAAAGCTGGATGACCAACAATTTCCTTCTTCTTAATCCTAACAAAACTGAGGTCCTACTACTTGGACCCAAAGCAGAGAGATCTCAACTCTCCAAATCTGAACTAAATTTAGAGGCCATACGGTCATTCCAAGCACTACTGTAAAAAATCCAGGCGTCGTCTTTGATTCCCGTCTCTCTTTTTATACACATTTGCAACATTGTTAGAACCGCATTCTTTCACTTGTGTAACATCACTAAACTACGCAATATTCTAGACCTAAACGATGCAGAAAAGCTGGTGCCTTCATAACATCCAGTCTGGACTACGGTAACACCATTTTAGCTGGAAGCTTACAAGGACCAAAAATTTGACCATATATTCCCAATCCTGTGGTCATTACACTGGCTACCTGTTAAATTTCCTGTAGAGTAGAAGATTCTTTTCTTAATGTATAAATCATTAAATGGCCCCACAGAATTAATTATTCTCCAGAATTTACAAGCAATAAATCTTGACAATATACAACATATACCTGTCTGTCCTGCTAATCAATCTCTCTCTCTCTCTCTCTCTGAAATCTCTTTCTTTCTTTCTCTCTCTGAAATCAATCTCTCTGAAATCAATCTCTCTCTCACTCTCTCTGAAATCAGTCTCTCTCTCTTAAATCAATCTCTCTCTCTCTCTCTCTCTGAAATCAATCTCTCTCTCTGAAATCAGTCTATCTCTCTCTCTCTCTCTCTCTCTCTCTCTCTCTCTCTCTCTCTCTCCTCCCCCTTTTTTTTGCCTGAGTCGCCACATGGGAGCAACCAGAGCTGCTAGAGTCACCACCAGAGTTTCAACCACCATGGAGCTTCACGCTGTACAACGCTGTGCAAACCTCACCCTCATAAATTGACCCACCTGATGCTGCTGCTGATGCATAAACTCAATCTATCTAATTAACCATTGATCCACCTGTTTTTCCCGTTTTGTATTTGAATATTTTATACTAACACTGTTTGCTATCCGGTGTTGACCATAGGAGGATGGGTTCCCCTTTTGAGTCATGGTTCCTCTCAAGGTTTCTTCCTCTTGCTCTTAGGAAGTTTTTGCTTCCCACTGTTGCCATTGGCGACGCTCATGGACCCAGATTTTTCTGTAAAGCTACTTTGTGAGAACACCTGCTGTAAAAAGCTCTATATAAATAAACTTTGGCTTGACTTTGACTGGTCTAGTGCTGTCTGTCCATTTCTCTGTGAAAACTTCTGTACAGAATAAACCACTGCAGATTCCACTGTGGTTCTGTCTCATTCAACACAGCTGTGAGGGAGTCTGGGTTACACATATGTACATATGGAGTACCTGCTCCCCCAAGTTTATTTAGAAAGGGGGATTACTGATGCTCACTGTCCACTTTATTAGAAATACCTACTTCACAACTGACAATACTTGTTGCTTGTGTTTCTGTTTAGTTTTCAAAATTCTGTTCAAGGAGTTTTTCACAAAGAATAATTTCTCAGCCAAATAAATTCTACCCAAAATAACCACTTATCAATAAATTTGAAATAATTTTATTATGGAAATTAGATGCAAATAAATGAATGAACACAAGTTTAAAAAATTATATATGTTATACAGTCATATAACTATATAACTTACATTCTTTATTTCAGCAGTTATAAATAACTGAGACTGTTGTCCATAAAAAGTTTCAGTATCTGGTTTAGCAGCACACACAGCATGACCCCACCTCAAAAACGACAACGGTATAAAAACTACAGCTATACTTAGCGTGACCCCTCCCCTAACACTATAACGCTATAAAACTAGAGCCATACTTAGTGTGACTCCTCCCCTAACACTATAACACTATAAAACTAGAGCCATACTTGGTGTAACCCCTCCCCTGACACTATAAAACTAGAGCCGTACTTAGTGTGACCCCTCCCCTAACACTATAACACTATAAAAACTAGAGCCATACTTAGTGTGACCCCTCCCTAACACTATAACACTAGAGCCATACTTAGCGTAACCCCTCCCCTAACACTATAAAACTAGAGCCATACTTAGCGTGACCCCTCCCCTAACACTATAACACTATAAAAACTAGAGCCATACTTAGTGTGACCCCTCCCCTAACACTATAACGCTATAAAACTAGAGCCATACTTAGTGTGACCCCTCCCCTAACACTATAGTGCTATAAAAACTAGAGCCATACTTAGCGTGACCCCTCCCTTAACACTATAACACTAGAGCCACACTTAGCGTCACCCCTCCCCTAACACTATAACACTAGAGCCACACTTAGCGTCACCCCTCCCCTAACACTATAACACTATAAAACTAGAGCCATATTTAGCGTGACCCCTCCCCTAACACTATAAAACTAGAGCCATACTTAGCGTGACCCTTCCCCTAACACTATAAAACTAGAGCCATACTTAGTGTGACCCCTCCCCTAACACTATAACACTATAAAAACTAGAGCCATACTTAGCGTGACCCCTCACCTAACACTATAACACTAGAGCCATACTTAGCGTGACCCCTCACCTAACACTATAACACTAGAGCCATACTTAGCGTCACCCCTCCCCTAACACTATAACACTATAAAACTAGAGCCATACTTAGCGTGACCCCTCCCCTAACACTATAACACTAGAGCCACACTTAGCGTCACCCCTCCCCTAACACTATAACACTATAAAACTAGAGCCATACTTAGCGTGACCCCTCCCCTAACACTATAAAACTAGAGCCATACTTAGCGTGACCCCTCCCCTAACACTATAATGCTATAAAACTAGAGCCACACTTAGCGTGACCCCTCCCCTAACACTATAGTGCTATAAAAACTAGAGCCATACTTAGCGTGACCCCTCACCTAACACTATAACACTAGAGCCATACTTAGCGTGACCCCTCCCCTAACACTATAACACTAGAGCCACACTTAGCGTCACCCCTCCCCTAACACTATAACGCTATAAAACTAGAGCCACACTTAGTGTGACCCCTCCCCTAACACTATAACACTATAAAACTAGAGCCAAACTTCACATCACTTGAACTTTATTTAAGAATTCTATTCACTGTTAATATGTTTAACTGAAGGACATGTAAATGAGCCTTGTTTTATATTATTTATTCTAGATGATGGCATCCAAATAAGCTACTGTTTAACACTGCTTCTTCAAGATTTACTCAGTTATATATTTTTTAAAAATGTTCAAATATTTACAGTGTATATTTAATGTTATAATTAATAAACTGAATAATTCCATGCTTATTGTTCCAAAAACTGAAGAGTTATTTCACATGTCAATATCACAGTGTACCACAGTATATACTAACAATATAACAATCAGTCATAACTCCAAAAATAGGGGTTTCTATTAAAGTGGCTAAGCAGTGAACCTTCAGCTCTTCATAATAACTAAAACTATAATAACTAAAATTTATTTTTCATTGTCTGAACTGAAGCTCTAATGTGTTCAGCCTTCAATCATCAATAATCCAATATTGATCTGCTGTATTAATGTAGATGTAACACTCACTGAGCTTTTCTGCAGACAGTCAGAGCTGGGATCAGTCTCCTATAACCCTCCTCTGATGTGTTGTATTTCTTCAGGTCTAGCTCATCCAGAACCTCCTCTGAGGTCAGAAGCATGCAGGCTAGTGCTGAACACTGTCCAGGAGAGAGCTTCACCCATGAGTGTCTCTCTGAGTTTAGATACTCCTGAATCTCTCTGGAGAGAGACTGGTCATTCATTTCAGACAGACAGAGGAACAGATTGATGGATCTCTCAGTGGAGATGTGATATTGTTTACCTTCTCCTTTGATTAATCTCTTGATGTGCTGTCTGGTTCTCTCTGAGCTGCTCTGTGTTGGGGTCAGTAGACCCTGTAAGAGTCTCTGATTGGACTCCAGTGAGATGCCCAGCAGGAAACGGAGGAAAAGATCCAGGTGTCCATTCTTACTATGTACAGCTTTATTCACTGCTCTTTTCAGAACCTCATCCAGAGGAACATCCTCAGACCTCTCACTGTACAGTGGGTTAAATATCTGCAGTTCCTTCATGTTTTTGCTCTCATAGCAGTCAAACACATAAACAGCAGCCAGGAACTCCTGAAAGCTCAAATGAACAAAGCAGTAGACCTTCCTCTGGTGAAGCACACATTCCTCCCTAAAGATCTCAGTGAAAATCCCAGAATACACTGAGGCCTCAGTGACATCAATGCTGCTCTCCCTCAGGTCCTCTTCATAGAACATCACATTGCCCTTCATCAGCTGTTTGAAAGCCAGTTCAGCCAGTTTCAGAAGAATGGTTCTGTTGGACTCCAGCAGGTTCTTTGGGTCTCTCTCATCTTTCTCCTCATACTTCTCATTCTTCATGTTTGTCTGAGTAAGCAGGAAATGTGAGTACATTTCAGTCAGAGTTTTAGGGATTTCTGTGTGACGCTGTTGGATGATTTGCTGAAGAACAGTGGCTGAGATCCAGCAGAAGACTGGAATGTGGCACATGATGTGGAGGCTCCTCGCTGTCTTAATGTGGGAGATGATTATCTTGGCTTGGTCTTCATCACTGATCCTCTTCCTGAAGTACTCCTCCTTCTGTGGGTCACTGAATCCCTGAATTTCTGTCACACGCTTGATGTATTTAGGAGGGATCTGATTGGCTGCTGCTGGTCGGGAGGTTATCCAGATCAGAGCAGAGGGAAGCAGCTCTCCTTTGATGAGGTTTGTCATCAACACACCCACTGATGATGTCATGGTGATGTCAGATACTTTCTTACACTGTTTAAAGTTCAGTGGAATTCTACTTTCATCCAGACCATCAAATACAAACACAGCTTTGAGCTGATCATAAATCTCTGGGTCCAGATCTTTGAGCTCAGGATGGAAGTCACACAGAAGTCCATGAAGACTGTATTGATCATCTTTAATCAGGTTCAGCTCCCGGAACGGAAGCACAAACATGAGCTCTACATCCTGATTGGCTTTTCCTTCAGCCCAGTCCAGAATGAACTTCTGCACAGAGACAGTTTTTCCAATTCCAGCGATGCCTTTAGTCAGAACACTTCTGAGCTCTGGCTCTTTTGGTCTGTTATCTTCTTTTCTTTCTTTGTGTCTGAGACTGTCAGCCTCCACAGCTCTAATGTTCTCTTCTTGTGTTTTTCCTTCAGGACCTTGTAGAGGTTTAAAGATGTCTAAGCAGTTGATTGGAGAGTCTTGTAAGTGTCTCCTGGATGTTTTCTCCATCTGTAGAACCTCATGTTCTTCATTCACTCCTTCACTCTCTCCCTCTATGATGTAGAGCTGTGTGTAAATCCTGTTCAGGAGGGTTTTATTCTCTTCTGTTCTGATTCCCTCAAATAAGCTCTCGTACTTGTTCTTCATGCTGGTTTTGTGTCTCTCTAAGACTCTGTGATGGACGTCATCCACTGGTTGGTGAATATCTGCCAGAGTGTTTATCTGCAGTGCTGTTTGTGTGGAGTGCTGCCTAATCAGGGCCAAACACAGTAACACAAACATCATTAACACAAACACCCATAAATGTTTTGTAATAATTTATTTAATTAGATTTGAGATATTTTGTTAAACAAAAGAAACAAAGAAACTTTGGGTTTGTAGTAGTTTATAAGAATGTAAAACAATAACTTATTTGGATGGCTTTATCTAGAATCAGCAATTATATTTAATATAAAACAAAGCTTATTTACATGTTCTTCAATTAAGCATAATAACAGTAAATAAGAGTATATTAATAAAGTTCAAGTGAATCTTTTCTCTAAATGTAAACACTATAGTTTCAGTTGTGTAAAATTACATATTCAGAATGGATGCATTCAGATACATTTCACATGGTAAACACTTTGACAGCATTAAGTTTGAAGAATGCATTTAAGACTTCTAACACTTTCAGTAAATGAATAGTTATTAAAGTCCATGCAGTAAAAATTAGGTAGCAATAACTAGGCAGTAAAGCTTCTCTTGGACTGAAATGAAGCCAGCAGCAGCTCTTCAGCTGACAAACAAACAGTATCTTTGTAGTTTGTATGTGGTAATATAATGTATATTAATTAATAATAACTGAGGTTAAATAACATGAATTTATGTTAAACTTGGTTTTAAATATTATAGAACTGGTTATTAATAGTTAAAGATTCACTAACACACATTGTGATCTGAGCAGCAGTCAATCAGAATCAAACAGAATCAAACCTGTACTGAGGCGTGTGGCTCTGTTTGGGTCTCTATTCTGCTCACTAAGTTAGCCAATGAGACAGTACAGGCATCTTAATAACATAAATCTCAGTGTACAGTGAAAATAACTGACCTGTTTGTAAAAGCTCCTCATCACAATGTTTGCGATCATGTTGAAAGTGATATTATTATTATTATTATTGTTATAATAATAATACAAATAAAAATAAAGCATAAATCAAATTAAGTTACTGCATTAATTAATAAATAAGTTCTTTTAAAACATTAAAAATGTCTCTACTGGGAAATTGTTTTTTTGTCACAATAAACATCATCAAATAAAAAAGTTTGATTAATTAACACTGTTATGAATTATTGATTAACATACGTTTCTTTAAATCCCAATAATGTATAGTCAAAGTCAAAGTTTATTTATATTGTGCTTTTTATAGCAGGTGTTGTCACAAAGCAGCTTTACAGAAAAATCCGGGTCCAAGCCCCCATGAGCGTCACCAATGGCGACAGTGGCAAAGAAAAACTCCCTGAGAGCAAAAGGAAGAAACCTTGAGAGGAACCAAGACTCAAAAAGGGAACCCATCCTCCTCTGGTCGACACCGGAGAGCAAACAGCATTAGAATAAAATATTATAATACAGAATGGGAAAAACAAGTTGAGCAATGGTTAATTAGATTAGTTTTAGTTTATGCAGCAGCAGCAGCTTCAGGAGGGTCAGTTCATGAGGGTGAGGTTTCCACAGCATTGCACAGCATGAAACTCCATGGTGGTCAAAACGGCTCCCATGTGGCGACTCAGGCAAATGTCGCTCAGGGGCTCAAATAAAGGGAAGGCGATATATATATATATATATATATATATATATATATATATATATATATATAGAAAGAGAGAGAGAGAGAGAGAAATTGATTAACAGGACAGGTCTGTTTATGGAGAGATATTAGGTAGTTAACAGTGCAACAAATGCTTGTGCAAACAGAAACGTTTTGAGTCTAGTTTTAAATGTAGAGAGTCCCGAACAGAGGTTGGGAGATGATCTCACAATTTTGGGGCTACGTAGGAAAATGCTTGACCCCCTGCTGTGTTTTTTCTAATTCTAGGAACTGTCAGCAAGCCGTTATTTTGTGAGCGGAGCGTATGTATGTGGATATTCACTAAGATACTGCGGGACCATTTAATGATTTATATATTAAGAGAAAGATCTTATACTCTACAGGAAATTTAACAGGTAGCCAGTGTAATGACGACAGCTGACGCCTAGAATATTGCGTAGTTTAGCCTTGTTACGCAAGTGAAAGAATGTGGTTCTAGATTTTTTACAGTAGTGCTTGGAATGACCATATGGCCTCTAAATTTAGTTCAAATTGGAGAGTTGAGATCTCTCTGCTTTGGGTCCAAGTAGTAGGACCTCAGTTTTGTTAGGATTAAGAAGAAGGAAATTAGTGGTGACCATAGCAGGTTTATTTAGGCTTTCTTGTAGACCTGAAAGACCAAACAGTATTTAGTGCTGGTTTAAGGAGCCGTTAGTCATAACAATTCTTCTGCTTTAAATTAACTGACTGTAAAAAACCCTCATAATTCAATTAAAATGGCATGTTTTGAAAATAAACATACAACCTGATGTATTGACATGTAGAGTGTATTCAGTGTAAAAATAAATAAACAGTGTGATGAAACATGCATGTGTTTCATGAACTACATACACACTACACCACTTGTTAAACAGACTCCAGGTTAAGAGCAGGTCATCCTCCCCCTCTGCTGCGGTCAGTGATAGCCTGATGTCCTGACTCAAAACCAGGCAGCAGTTTATCCAGTGCCCACCTGAGTGTCTATGAAGAGTGACTGTGTGTGATACATTAGCTGGGAAGGTAAATAAGAGTCTTTAATGTTTAACTCTTTGTGGGTCACAGGACTGAATGTTCAGGCAGGACCATGACTCTTCTTACACACAGATCTGGACACTGGAGGAACTGCAACTAATGATTATTTTGGCAGTCGACTTATCTGTTGATTATTTTTTGATTAGCCAATTAGTCAATGATTATTTCTGTCATGACTTCCACCTCTGCTTCCTGTCTGCTTCCTGTGTCTCTGCTTCCTACATGTGAATGTCGCACTGTTGTCAAGTCTCTGCCTTAACATAAGTTCCCATAGCAAATTAAAATAATGACCCATGAAACATGAATATAAAACTTATGCCCGATAGCTTAAGTAAATACATTTGTAACATTAATAAATGTAATCCTAATAAAAGTGAAATAAACTAATTTAATAATACAAATTAAAGTGTAAGAAGGCTTTCAAATGAAGATAATGTGTAAAAATGTAACTCAAAATAGCTGCCTCTGCCCCAGCATGGGGGCTGTTGAATTGCAGAAGTCATAAAAAATAGTCCATCCTATATAAAACTTTGCTGGATCTGGAAGCCCAGCAGTTTACATAATGCTTCATACATAAAAAATAACTTTTTCCAGTCCAAAATAACTCTTAGCAATAGTTTACAAAAGCTTTAATTGGAGTGCAGGAACGTGAGCATGTTGACGTGCTCTGAAGCGAGGCTGGCTAGCGTTCTCTTAGCTAACACAACCCATGAGACCTTGTTTTCCGACTGGTAAACATAACAAACATTATGATACTAATATCATTCGACTAAAATACGAAGTGGTAGAAAACACTTGTACCCTTTCAGAACAGAATTAGGCCTGATTCACACATGGTACCTCTGTGTGGTGTGAGTGATGTGGCAGTGTGATCTGGCCTTTCATACATACAGTATTCAAACTTCAGAGCGTAGTAACTATCATTTTCCAGGCCACATGGAAATGGTCACATCAATCACTCTGCTCAACAAAAATACAATTCATAAAAGTGCACGGTATGTTTGTTTATCATGACGAACGCTGTCCATGATGAAGTGTCACATGCCGTGAAGTAGCACGGAATGTTTAACTAGTATTTCGTCATGAATTAAATTAATTAAAAATAGCATTTTTATGTTTGTCCGTGGTTTCCTGTTTAATTTTCATTGATTTTCAGGACTTTTCAATGTATTTTGCTGCATGACGCGTGTGGCACTTGGAAAAAACGTCTCCTGGTCTATTCTCTAAACACTGCAGCGCTTCAGTGCAGCATCACCTCGCATCTGCAGCCAGTGTGAAAGCGCTGACCATTGTTGAATATTAAATATGTGAAAAACTCTTACAACTGCTGTTTACTGTTAGCAGTTATTTACCCCGAGTCAGAGGTTCGTCTCCCTCCACTGGACTGTGCTGGTAACATCATGGACCAGTCACTCTTCATAGACACACAGCTGGGTTCTCCTCCTCTTCTGCTGAATTCAAGAGGGTTCCCCATGGACTGGTCACTCTTCATAGACACACAGCTGGGTTCTTCACCTCCTCTGCTGAAACTAAAAGGGTCCTCCATAGACTGGTCACTCTTCATAGACACACAGCTGGGTTCTTCACCTCCTCTGCTGAAACTAAAAGGGTCCTCCATGGACTGGTTACTCTTCATAGACACACAGCTGGGTTCTGGAGGTCCTGCACGCTTCACTCTGAGAAAAGATCATCCACAGTGAGATTAAAATGCTGAGTAATTATGTTCTTCACTAAGACTCATTTATTCTGATCATAAGTCACGATTTCCTCTTTCTGTTTAATCAGGTTAAGAGCTGATATAAAGTTACTCACTTTGAATCAGAGGTTCTTCCTCCACTGCTGGAGTGATGAAGCTCCATCACTGAGGTTTTACTCTCCACACACAGCTGGACACTGGAGATGCTGCTCTCTGTGAAAACATGTATAATTACTCTTTGTTGACTAATGTGTTTGTTTTTAACACAGCAGCAAATACTTTTAACTAATGTTTTTTTTTATTAAAATAATCCAATCCATATTTATCATTACAGAGGAAGTTGAAGTAGACACAGGAATCTACTGACACAATTACATCTTCTGCTGCTCCACACCCTTTATTTATCATAATCAGTCATTGTATGATACTAATCTTTGTAGAGCTCATATTGTCCATCACACAGAACTGCACACTAGAGGGTTTTATCACTTTGTACAGGAATTCTGAGATTAGACATTAGAAAATGTCAATAGAAAAGCCGAACAAAAACACCTAAATGTTATAAAAGATGATTTTACATTTAACTGAGGTGAACAAAGTCTATTAATACAGATGAGATGTGATACAGGGTGATGGAAACAGAGTGTTGAATAAACAATGACGTTGTGGAGACGTAAATCTCATATTTTAGCTTCATCTGAGCTCCATAATAATAAAATGTCTCTGTGTAATATTGATCCAGAACTGTGTGGTCATTCTCAGGTGGACGGTGTTGAAGTGGAACAGTAATCTGATCTCTAAGTAAATGGTCCATCACTCTGAGCTGCTGTAGTTCAGCCGTATACAGATGACCACTGTACTCAGAGCTAATACAGACTCAGACTCTCCATTAGGCTACAGTTGGGTTCTCTTTAGTTCCACAGGACTAATCCTGTTATGGCATCTTCAGGATCTTCATAAAAGAGTAGAGTAGCTGATAGAAACACTCAGAGACTGATGAACTGAGCTTTTAATAAACTGTATTTACTGATAAATGATATACTGAAAAATCATACTGGAGAAAAAATATATAATAAACACTGTGGAGTTTATAATGTATAGACAGTAAGATTATAGAGTTTATTAAGTTAAACTCTCTTAAGTACACCAGTGGATATTCTGGCTGTAAGTGGACAGGTTTGTACAAATATTTGTGTGTTATTACTTATAACATAAGCAAATTATTATTGTAACTTTCATCTGTAAACTGTAAGTTGGATAGGCTACTTTCCTCATAGCCAACACTGCTAGTAATGTTATAAATCTGTGCAGGTAAAACACAGTCAGCGAATGAATGAGCCGCCACTGAATCCTTGGAATGCAGTGATTCACGCACTGAGCTCTGAATTCTTGCTGAATCTGTTTGTACATTCAATCACAAAACATGTCTTTCCCATTATAGATGTTTTTGTGGCATTCACACTGGACACTAACTCTTCTTATCTGCCCCCACCCCCACTTTATGGAGGACCAATCAGACTTTGTTTACAAAGTCTTTACAATACATTTCTTACAACAAACATCTTGTAACATAATCAACTGTTGTGTACAGCAAGCAGCATGAGTAAATGACTTTATCAGAATCCATTGTGCGTGCTGCCTTTTAAATACAGTAAGGTTTATGTACATGTCGCTGCTGACTGGCTGACACCTCTGATATGGCCATCAAATGAGAGAAAACACACCTAACAGCATCTAAAATGCCTCTAAAAATGCGGTGCTGCACAAGCTGCTATCTAAGAGCCAGTCATGAACGGCTAACATAACAGGGTTCGCAAAAACAACAAATGCTGCATAACCTTCATTGTGCACTGACAGAAATACAACCACCAAAAAGTAATGGTCTAAGCACTATAAGCCTCCATTAGCAGCCATACTCATCCAATGACTGAGTTGTCCTCAGTAGACCACAGATGTAACATGCAGAGTTTCAGTTCAACTGGAGAAGTGGTTGCTGAGAAATAGATTTTTGGATATTACATAATCTGCTACTGAAAAGTTGGTGTCAAACTGGTTTGCTTTCTCAGAATTATGTTTGGTATAAGAGTCTAAAATTTCATGCAATTTGGTCAGAAGGGATTAATTGGTATGAGGTGGCCATATTGTTTAAAACTCTTGACCTCTAGACTCCCCTGAACATTTTGAGACCAATATTATGTGGATATCTTGAATAACCTCAGACTAACAGAAAAACACAGATGTCACATATTTTTTGGATTGATGTCCACCTCTAAAAGCTCCCTCACAGAAAGTTATTACATAAAATGGCTGATGTCTGAGATGTTTTACAATAGTTTTGAGAAGATTTTGGCTATTTACATTATTTTTTTTTTATCCATTCACATGGGAGAGATTCCTGCAGGGCATTGTGAGGCAAAATAGTCCACCAGTGCTTCATTGAGGGGGCAGCATTGCGGTCAAAAAAATAAATAAATAAAGTTGCGTTATAGACAGTAACCTCGAGTCATCAAAGTTTTTGATAGTTTTGATAGATTGAAGTAATTGATAGCCTACATTTCACCCAAAAAAGAAAAGAGTATCCAAATCCTAAAATTTAAAACTAAATACCTACCGAAAAAATGAAAATCTGAATAGTCAAACATTCGTGTCCAGCCCTGGAAATTTTTAAAGAGCAACACCAACAGCCTTTTAGCCTCACCTCCCTTTTCTGAGCTCCTTCAGGGTCCTGGAGTAACGGCCGCTGGTCATTGTAACGTAATCATGGGTGGGTCATTTTATGGCGTGTCAGTGTGAAATCAACAATAAAAGTACAGTTTTATAGACATTATCAATATTGTTTGTTCATATTAAAGTAACATACAAATTTGATCTATAACCTAAATCAGGGATTTTTAATTAAAGTTCTATAAGGTCCATCCATCCATCCATCCATCCATCATCTAAACCGCTTATCCTTCTGGGTCGCGGTGGGGTGCTGGAGCCTATCCCAGCTGTCATTGGGCGGAAGGCAGGATACACCCTGGACAGGTCGCCAGTCCATCGCAGGGCAGACAGACATACACACACACACACACTCACTCACACCTAGGGGCAATTCAGCATGTCCAATTGGCCTGACTGCATGTTTTTGGACTGTGGGAGGAAACCAGAGTACCCGGAGGAAACCCACACAGACACGGGGAGAACAGGCAAACTCCACACAGAAATGACCCTGGTCACGCAGCCAGGAATCGAACCCAGGCCTTTCTTGCTGTGAGGCGACAGCGCTACCCACTGCGCCACCGTGCCGCCCTCTATAAGGTCCAGTTAAAGAAAATTTCCTCAAGCAAAGGTCCGGAACATCATAATGTCTAAGTTGCATTATGACTTATAGTGCCATATACTGTTTACTGAAGTAGCCTAGTAGTTATATGAACATCTTATACAGTCAACAACTGAATATCAAATCAAATAAAGTACAATTCAGTAATATTTCAATAACATTTATTGTCAGTTTTCTCTTTTTAGAGCACGACATGTGAAATGATCTGGCTCACTTTCTTCTCCGACTGTTGTGTCTCGCCTCGTCCTTTCCCTGTGTGTGCGTCACTCAGTCCGTAATGGACAGATCTGATTGGCTAAATCGGTACCGCAATGATTAGAAATCATACGCTGACTAAAATAGGACCACCCCGTGAAAATTAAATAATTACTCGCAGTTTATTGGTTGTAGGTCCAGGTCCGCATAGGACAGCGTCTGGGTCCGGACTCGGACCACGGTCTGCCTGTTAGTGACCTCTGACCTAAATCTGCTGCGAAATATATTATAAAATATTTTAAATTTCGTATGTTTTTAAATCAAAAATTGCTGCTGTTCCGATTAAGCTCAGTGTGCTCACTTTCAGCTCATTTACATTGAACATCTATGTAAACATTTAAATGAACAGACTTGAAATGTTCAGTGATGGTTGTTACTTTAAGTTAATCTTTAAAAAAATATTAGGCCAATAAAGTATTTCAATTTAAATAACTGAATTTAGGTCATTTATGTAATTTAAATAAAAGGACCATTTTAATTTAAGTAATTTAATTTCGATCCTGGCCTCTGATTCTTGGGTCAGCCAGATGAATGAAGCGTTTAATTGGCTTGATTGATTTTAAAGCTCTGGAATTTGTTACTTACTGTAAAACCTGGTTTTAAAAAAATGGGGCATTTAATTTTAATGACTTTCCACCGTCAATGAAATAATTAATCTATTTTAATGGCACTTTGCTTGATTTTAGTGGTTTTGTATTTGTTACTAACTTTTTATTTTCATATTGAACTTATTTCAATGACTTCTACGTGTGTTTTTTAATAAACAATAATTTTAATAAAACGTTTTAGCTTATTTGGAACAGGGTTGTGTTTAAAGGGTAAAAAATGTACCCGTTATTGCATATCTTTATTTTAAATTAAAAAAACAGTTACTGTATGAGTTAAATATTACTGTATGAGAGGTTAATATTTCATTTTAACATCACTTATCCTGCTAAAATCAGTGTCTTGGGCTCTAAAAATGTCTCAGAGTAGAGTTTGGTGAGCTGAACAGGTGCGTTTACTCTACTTTCCATCATACATTATAGCTGAAAAACAGCTCGTTTTGAGAGGTAAACGTGATGTTAGTTGATCAGTAGTGGTGCTTTCACTGCAAACCTCACCACAGTGCTGAGATCTGCCTCTTATTCTACTTTTCTGTTCCACTTTAAATGGAGCAGCAGGTTCATCCTGGCGCCTGTGAGGTGTTTGTGAAGTTAGTTAGCTGCTTCCAAGCGTGATGAATCCACTACATGATACTGAAACTTTTATTTCAGTAAATCTGTATGATTAGAGTTTAAGATGAGTTTGGTGTAGATCTGCACTCTCACTGTGATGCTTCATATGTGCTGTTTAACCAGAGCTGCACCTGAATATCTGATAAAACCTCCTTTCTGATCCTTTTCCTTGATCTTGATCTGATCTCTGATCTGTTGGTCATGTAGGACCACGTTAGTCGGCTCTGCAAACGCAGTGAGACCATAAGATTACAGATCAGCCAAAATGAAGGACATTATGTAGAAAAGTTGGTGTTTTTTAACTGTTCTAAACCACCCCAGACTGACAAACCCTGCCACAATGGCAGATACCCATAAACCACTGCGTTATGACATCACATTCCCACCCTACATGTATGTGAGGGTAAACTCAGCCCTGTGGTTTGATGAAGTGTAAATCAGGGAGCTGCTTGATTTCACACAGCTGAAGCTGATTCATCAACAAAACTCGAGGTTTTATGGCAGATTCATGAATCAGATGCAGAGTTTGTTCATCATTCAGCTCTGATCTGTGATCTTGGATAAATAAGAGCCAGTATTTCTGCTGACTAACAGCTTTTCTCCACACCAGCTTCTCTAATCTACTTCCTCCTAAACTCCATCACCCGCCCTGTAGCAGCTTTGGCCTCGGAGAGCCTCTAAACGGGTGCGATTTTATTCAACTTGGAGCTCAAGTTCAGTAACACCTTCACTAAAACTATAAGACAAAGGAAACACAAACAAAGCCACTTTCACCAGTTCAGAAGATGCAGAATTAAAAACAAAGGCTTTATGATTTTAATGAACACAGAGATTCAGTCTAATGCCGGAAAACGGGTGGGTTTTGCGACCCGAACGAACCGAACAGAACTTTACAGAAACTATAAAACACACAGAAACTCAGCTCAGCCCGTTTCTTAATACACGGGTCCACCAGCTTAGAGTCTCATACCTGCTCCAGTGTTTGACGGAGCCTCGAGGATTTTCTCTTTCAGCCTTTTTCTGAATCCGCTACGTGATGAGAGCAGAGTAAACACGGCGAGGAGCGTCTCCAGCTGAGCTCTCTGTAGAGGAAGGCTTTTACAGACACACGCAGAAGGACGTTACAGCCCCAAAACGAGGGAAAACCAAACTACGGAGCTGCTACGGATGTTTTCCTGGATCATCTCCAAATAAGATGGTCTCAACTCCAAGACTCAAAGTGAAAGGAAAACTCCACTGGAGTTCCTCTTTTACTTGGGGGAGGGATTAAAGCAAAAAACCTTCTGACCGAATATTTTTCAGGCCTTTACAAAAAAAATCACTGCAGTTTTTTTTGTGACAATACTGCACGTTTCCTTACAGGTAAAACACAAATGGATTAAACTCCTAAAATACTACAATTATTGCAGTTCAAACACAATAATAATGCACTACAACTGCAATATAAAAGCAGATATTTAATTAGATTATTCAGCGATTTGAGTATAATTGAAACAATACAGTGATACTTGCAGTAAATTCATCTTCAAGAACTGCAGTGTCCACAAAAAACAACTGCAGTCCTACATTTATGAGCCACATCAGAACTTTTTATAGTGAGTAAATGGTAAAGAAAATTACAACATACCAAAGACACAATTACATCCAGTGAACTTTGTCACAGTTCATTTACAGGTTGTGATTTTTAAAGATAGAATTTTATTTTAAATAATCTAAACATGAATTTAAACAACTGAATTCAGATTCAATCATCTGAATTCAGTCTAAGAGGATGAAACTGGTGCAACGCAGTGTCTTTTTTCCAAAGTTTGTCTTCATTGTTCAGCTTGGTATGAATGACTGTCTTGATCTGAGATGCTGAAACATTAAATGTCTGCTGGATGTGGTTCTGTAACAAATAACAAGAAGAGAAAATCCTACATGTTTCAGTTAACTATTCTGTAGTTATGTATGTATTTTATTACAATTGTCCAGTTCCACTGATCATTACCCCACTTCACCACAGCCTGACTCCCATGCTGGCAAGTAGGGCTGCAGGCCACCACATGCCTCCTCTGATACATGTGGAGCTACCAAACTCCTTTTCACTGAACAGCAGTGGATCTCTATGGGAAGTAATGTGCCACTCTATACTACCCAAATCCATCTAGTCCAGCTCCCTGGCCAGCCAGTAAGCAACCATAAGACTCTCTGAAGATACACCTAATTAGAGTCCTCATGGTCTGGACAGTGGTCTAGTAAATATTCCCCAAAATTAAATTCGCAGCAAAGATATTATTTGGGATGCTGAAGTCACACATACACACACCATACATACACCAGTCAGTCAAAGATTTAGCAGTTTTGTGATCACAAGAATACATTTAATTCAAGTGCCACATTGCGATAGCTTGAACTTTCCTTTGGTCATTGGACACTTCCACAGAAACCTGTCAATCCCTTAAAAAAGTTTAACAAAAAACTTATTATTGTAACGTTTGAGGCATGGAGGCGGGATGCAAATGCGAGTTTTTATTGAAATGAGAGTCCATAATGAAAACAAAACAAAACCAAACTACAAGTGCAACAAGCAAACAAGAGACAAGGTTACATCCACAATGCAAGACGAAGACTGAACAAACACAGGGGTATAAATACACAGAGGGGAAATGAGACACACCTGGGACTAATGAGGGGTGGAGCTACAAGCAGGTGGAATAGATAACAAGGGGGCAGGACCAGGGAGGAGACACAGAGCAACAACAAAAGCACATGGTACAAGAAAACAAAAGACACATGGCTACAACAGAGGGGAAGAAACAGACACTCAGAGGGAGAAAAGAAGGAATCCGTGACAATTATAATCCAATTCAGGGCCCTTGTTATCAGACTTGGCCTAATCAAATCCATCAACACACTGATCTTCACATTCAGTTTTGTCTAAATAATGATTTGACAGGTTTCTTTTATGAACAGTTGTTAAAAACCATACAATGAAACTCTTCAGGCTCTTTTGATTAAAGATACTCACTAACTTGTTATTCTTGTGTGCTGTGGCTACAGAATGCACTGTGTTATGTTTGCGTTGTGGCAGAAATGTGAAAGCCATTCTTTGATGTACTTGGATGTAGCTAAGAGGTTACATTCAAAATGATACAGTTGTTAAAATAACTGGATACACTCAGTAAATTTATCACAAGATTTCCAAATGCATTTGACAAGAGATTTTATTCCAAGCCATTTCAGAGAATTTCTACTGGTCCATTCATCATTACATGTTAAGACTGAACACAGTTCAAACAAATAATTTAATAAATAATAAATAATAAAATAATAAATTTAATAAAGCTTTTTTTCATGAACTTTCTTTTTAGTTCCTGTCTACCTACAACTTTAGGAAATAGCTGTGAAATCATTTCACAAACCTTTACAGCAAAATTACATAAAAGCCACAAATGTGATGGCAACTTAAAAACAAGCTAATTTAATCAATTTGGACTGCAAACATCATAAAAAAATCTCTAGAGAGACTTATATACACACATCTCGAAGATCTGGCATCTGAAACATCTTGACAGAGATGAAGTAGCATCTACCTATTAAAATTGACACTTTCTTGGCTGGCAGGGCCTCCTTGATGGTCTCACTCGCAGCATTGGTTGCCTTTCGGCTGTTTAGAGAACATGTGGCCAGGGTCTCTCCACCAAAGATCACAACAAGCAGCTCATATGTAAATTCCTTGACTAAAGGAATTTACATATGATCTATTTAGATGTCTAAATAGCCGGGTGAAACTGGTGACAACTTAAATCAGGTATTTATAATGTGTTATGTATTTGGAAATATATGAGGCAAAAGTCCTAAATATTATGTCTTTCCAGTCCACATCCTTGAGCGGTGCTGTCTCTAAGTTGTTGGCCTGGCAGAAGTGTCATGAACTGAAGAGTTGCATGTTCTGGAATTATTGAATTGCTTGTCAGACTTCTGTTGTCCATCGCTTAGCAAAGCCTTTATGCCCCCCACTGCAGCTCTAAGCTCCTGGATAACACTGTGCATTTCTGTCAGAAAGCAGGACGATATACAAGACAATTATGCCATTAAGACCAACAAAGTGCTGTGGTTTTCATCAGAAATGAACAAATTAAAGAAGAGTTTTCAGTGATTTCATTCTCGTCTTATGTTGCAGAGAACTGTCGTACTACTTTCTGTTCCAAATTACATGCAGGTAAACTAGGCTTTCTAAAAGCAGATTAGAAATGGCTCACTGTCCAGTACATGACCTTATAGTTCATACACCACAGTATGGAGTTTACAATTTGAGCATATTTTTGTTTATATAGAAATTAGGTGAATTTAATTGAGTATAGCTTAACCATGAAACGAATAATAAAATCACATATGTTCAAATAATATGTGCACTAATTCTTACACATTAACTTAATTGCAGCTACAACAATGTCTGTTGTTGATTCACAAATGATTATGCAGAACTTGAGAATCTACATTATACAGCGTTTTTTAGCATCCCTTCTTCATGATTCTGTTCAAATGTTGTTAGAGTTTAAGGGTCGGAAACTGTGGGGGTCAGGAAATCTGCTGAATTAATAGCAGATACAGTCTGTAACTAAGGCAAACAACGTCAATGATTAAGATTCAAGTGAACGCCTTGAACCATCACCATACATTTGTTGAGTGCTAAAATCATGAAGCTCTGTGTGATGTAACATGTACAGAGCTTGAATGATAACAAAAAGAAAAAAGAAGCTTTTGAGGAATTTATTGTATTTCTTTTTGTGGTAAGACTATACATTTCTTCCGATATGACATATAAGTAAAATAAATTAACACATAGAACATAAAACCTTAACCTCTTTAAAAAATCACTGAAGTCTGAACAACAGAATGCATCTATATACGGTAATTAAATCAGAAATGGCGCATTAAATCTATGTTATTTGCAGTAGTTGAAAACAGAGCCAAAGCTAGCATTAGCAAGTTTACCCCCTTGTATTTGAGCAGTAAACCCTCTATTAACAGCACATTTAGTACTGTAGTAAAACGTGAAGACATGAACGATTTTTTGAAAACCCTATTCATTCTGGCCACAGAGAAATGGAGCTCAGACCTGGAGTTTCTAATATGGGCATAAGAGCATGGCACCGACTATAAAATGACGACACGACTACAGTGGTCTATGAGGGGAAACAGGGGGAACTGAGTTTACCGTAACACCGGCGCTGCACCATTTAAGGTGGAACAGAAAATTCCAATACGAAGCTGCTGGTGAAAAAAGGTCAACTTCAGCTCGTACAGTCAGCATCATTTTGCTAAAGGTTTATTTGTGCGAATAAGCTTCAATGGAAATAAATCAATGGGAAACTGATGTTGTAGGAAACCGAACTGGACAGTAGATGGCAGCATGGAGCCATATGCTTCAAGTACTGGTTGAAATATGAACAGGACAGATAGCAACACTCAGTGTGATTAAGGGAAGACCCGCCCTTCAAAAAACAGCCAATCGCCTGAGACCTGAGACCCTCCTCCAGGAGAGACTGCAATCCAAAGGCTAAAACCATAGATATACATACGGATGCCGCGTTGGGTCCAGCCAGGCACGTCAAAGGTGCCGTCATTTTAGGGCGGTCAGCATCTCTGCTGGACTGCATTCAGCACCATTATAGAGCGGCAGTTTAAGATACTATTACACTGTTTCAAGAATATCACACCCAGAAAGCGGGATAGGATCATACAACGGAGGGAACACAGCGATGCCTGCTCATGTTTGTGTGGTGGGTATCGTTTGTGTAATGTTTATATGTAGATATCTTCATGAAGCTAATTAGTAGTTCTGTCCGTTTTACAGATGTTTGTGGAACCAGTATGTTTTGGCTCCTCTTCATTGTCAGTGTACTACACTGACTTATTCACAGGTCCTGGTTCTGTGTATTGTGTAAAAGTCATAAGATGGTAATAAAATATTTCTTTATTCCTATGAATTTTGTCAATGTCCTGTTGTTATATGAGCCCTACTGTACTTGAGAGGGCAATTTAATAATTTAATTTTTTAATGCAGAAAGAAAAGTTACTTCAGTAAGTCTACAAAAATATATAACTGAACATGACCAACACTGTTATTTCTGCTGTATCTCATTTTAGAAGCAGTAAGAAGAAACCGCCTCACTGCAACTTCAGCGGACCAGGAAATCGAGCAGTGGATTAAAAGGTGGCTCCATCTTGCTGGAGACAGAGATGGGGGA